GCTGTTTCCAGGTCCAAACACCGCTTCAGGTCCCAAAGTCAAATGAACACTGCAGCATCACTGAGAGTTACAAACTGTCTAAATTCTTTCATCTTTAATAAAATGATCAGCGTTCTGCTCTACCAGGTGTAGCAATTAAGTTTAACATCCAGGCATCCATGAAAACAGAATGTATTAAATTTAACGGAGTTAGAAGTTAGCTCACTAGTTTTCGCCTAAACATGATATAACATGACTGAGAGATTTCTGAAAGATTCAAACGTACAGCTCTGCTATCACTTCCAACATAAATTAAGATAGAAAACTAAACAGAAATGACGTTTGTAGGGTTACTGAAGTTGGGCTAGCTGATATATAATGATGTGCTACGTAATCGCTAGCTACACAGCTATGTTAGCATAACATAAACCGTGAAGCTGGAGGACGAACGCTAACTTTTTTCCACTCGATAAAAGTTAGCGTGAAGGTTCCTGATGGTTAGGGATGGTTAGGGACAAATGCAATTGCATGGCAGGACCTGTAAAAGGACCAAACTTCAGTCAGGAGAACAACTGAGATAATCCATCCACAATATGAGGTTAGTCATTAATTTACTGCTGCATGGGCTGGGCTGTAGTTACATCATAAGGTTTTAAAAACTGAGCTGATCACTGCCTTTTTTAGGGACTTGTTCAAATTAAATAGAACAAAATACAAAGCATTAAACATGTTAAAAATACAACACCCTTAATAAAGGCAGAGTAGTTTGGACCCGGAAGCAGAGTTCATATGTCATTGCTTAAAGACCGGATTATTGCAATCGTGTTTATTTCTGCTGTGAAGCTGGACATTTAAACGTGGGAGTCTATGGGATTGGCTCATATTTAGAGGCAGCCTCAAGTGGCTATTAGAGGAACTGCAGTCCTTTAGTATAATGTGTACATTCACCCAGAAAATTGGCACGTTAACCAGTAGCCCCACTGCTGAGTCATCATCCAGCTCAGTCACTCTCAGTGTAAGACCAAAGCTCTGATATTAAAGATTAAAACATGTAAATATTCAGATTTAGGTTTTTAGGTGCTCTGACCTCTGGGTAAATGATGATAAACTGTTTTTCTTTCAGGTTTCTTGATCACTGCAGTTACAAAGTAAATAAAATCAGATGGACTGAATTTGAAACTTGATGACAAAAGGAGGCCAAGAGGAATTTGAAAACATTCGATCATAGTTGCGTAGCTGTCTGTAGGTGTCCCCTCCGCCTCTTTTCTCCCAGTCCCTCTCTCTCTTTGTCTTCATCCATTCATCTCTGCTGACTCTCTGTCTTTGTGCTCTTTTGTTGTCAGTTGACGTAATCGAGCTGAATGAATGTTTGAGTTTCTCTGCTCAAAAAAAGACGAGGAGGAAGTCATTACAGGGATGAACCGCCTCAATAGAGTTTCCCAGGCAACCCGTGTGTGTGTGTGTGTGTGTGTGTGTGTGTGTGTGTGTGTGTGTGTGTGCACAGTGACTTTGTGGGGACCCATATGGACACTTTTAACAACACAAAAAAAATCACTGTGAGTTCACACAAAACCCAGTTTGGTTCCGTTACAATATTTTTTTAAAAGGTCTCCAAAGACATTTGTTAACTCTTTGAAGGAAATCCCAACTATTTTGAGTTACAGCCCTTATTATGATGTAAATGCACAATATTTTCACTTTTTTATAAAATCTGAATCTTTTCACACATATTTTGATCTAGAAAGAGTGTAATTAGCTCAATAGCGTAAATTCCAGGGCTATTATTATTTCTATTGGCCTGGAGTTTGCAAAGAATAAATAAGATAGCACAATGAGCCTTGTTTTGTTAAACAGGAAACAAGCAACATGATTCTATTTGATTTAAAGTACTGATGTTCATTTTAACTTAGCTATAAATGTCAAAACATTAAAATGTCAAATTAAAATTTACCCAGCAAGTAAAATTTCTGTTTCAAATGCATAAAAACCCCTCCACTGAGTATTTTTACTCAATAAATCAGTAACTTTAGTTCATGTAATGGAGTGAATGTAACCTCTCACATCTCACCCTTCTCTACACGTGCATGCAACCATATCATGTGACAAAATTCCACACGCAGGTCACATGACACTAAACTGTCTCCATGGCAGCTTGGTAAAACATTTCTGCTGAGGAAGGTTTCAAAATAAAAGCTTCAGAAACAGATAAGTTGGACATAAGGCAAGTTTAACTTAGTGATGATTTACTTACTTAACATTTTCTTGTGTATCTCTGTGCGCTTTAACACCACTGTTTGTAACCCAGAAACAGCAGAGATCCATACCTGATCTTCACCTGCTGGATGAGTCATTTTTACCTCTAATGATTGAAGTGTGACATAAAACCAGTTTGTGGACTGATTGTTTCCTCTCCTGTGAATGATTTCAAAATATATTTCCTCCACTTCAGTCATATTCAGACAGATTTGGTACTTTTTTGAGAAATGTTATCGGACCATCTCCAATATCAAATAAAACTACTGTTTATGGTGTTTTTTATTGATTTTTTCATCTTTAGTTGTGACTCACACTGCTATTGAACTTGATGAACTCAGGTGAGGTCAGGGCCAAAATGCTGTGTGTGTGTGTGTGTGTGTGTGTGTGTGTGTGTGTGTGTGTGTGTGTGTGTGTGTGTGTGTGGATCTCTTGGATTCAACCCAGGAAGATGCAAAAATCCCTTCTTGAGAAAGAAGGGTATAAAAAACCTGCCAAATCAGACAATCAGTTACCGTTTAGGAATGAGGAAGCATTCACAATGCTTTATTAGTGTGAATGCTTGAAAAGCATTCACAGTATTGTTCTTCTAATCTTTATTATTAATTCCGTACTTTTTGCACCTACTCCTTCAAAACCGTTCAACTTAGAAAAACCATTCAAACACCATTAGATTCCTCTTCTTTTGGACATGACTGCTTCTACTTTTCTCATTTTTAACATTTATATTTTTAATTTTATTCAACTTTTTTCAACAAAAATTTCCCATGTATTTCAATGGAGAGACCCTTCAAATTCTCATTCAAATTCCTCCTCTTTAAACTGTATCTACTTCCACATACATTGACATAGAGCCACCATTCAAACTTTAAAACGAAGACAAGACATTCAACTATTCAACTTGTATTTATCTTTTCAATATCTATTATACTTTTTCTTCAGTTCCAGTTTAAGTTTCATGATGTTTTTTCACCCGTTTCAGAGTTTATAATGGGTGTGTATGGGACGGAATGTTGGGGCTAGAGTGAGACAGCTCAACTGCTAGAGTGAGAGGAGCAAAAAAATTAATCTTAAAATCTTTTTTAAAACTGCTGCTGTGTCCGCAGCGTTTGCTCTACAGGTATGATTTTACCCTCAAAACGTAGCCATCGCTGTCCTCTTTCATCCAATGTGTTTACTATTGTACTAGGTGTTATGGTTCTTTCATAAATGTCACCAATGCACAGCCTCCTCCCTCCAACTCTTCCATAGACTCTAATGTTAAAATGGCTCAGAAGGTTCGTTTGAAAATCAGAAGAGCATGGTGTCTTTACACTGTCACCACGTCCATATAATAAACTCCACAGGCATGAAAACTGAGAATTAGGTAGACTGGACATTGCTGCCGCTCACGGTGAAAGAATTTTGTCAATACGACTTGTACTTTTCATTTGGGAACGATTTGTTTCGGGCCTGACTTTTCTGTTCATTTTAAGCAGCAAAAGTGAGGTGCATGTCTGTGTACGTGTGTATGGAGCCATTGGGTGCAGTCACTATAGCAACCAGGCTCACACCTGCCTGCTTAACGAGCTCTCTCACTCTGCCAAGATTCATCTTAAACACTTCTCTTTCAACTGCTGCTGTGTCCACAGTGTTACAGCCATCATTTTACCCTCAAAACATCGCCATCGTTGTTCTCTTTCCAACATCTTGTCTTTCAAAGCTCAGAGATGTCAACTTTTTAAACTGTGTGGATCCAAGTGGAGGGATCACATTTTAGTCATTCAGTGATTCAAAGAATATGACCTTTTAATATTCATTCAGATGTTTTCTGACTCTAAATGTTCTTTTCTCATTTCTTAGGTTTTTCTAATTTACAATTAAAACATTTTCAGCTTTTTTCCAACTTCTTCTTCTGTGTAACCTTCAGCTTTTAGCAGTTCAGCACTTTTGTTTTCAGGTTAAATTTCTGTATTTTTTATCTCATTCAAAATTTTTAACTTAAATTCAGCAATTAATTCATTTCAGTGCATACATTCAGATTCAAGCATTCACACTACAGTTTCTTCAGAAAATGCACTTTCTAGTTAGTTGTGAGCTTAAAGCATTCCAGTATTGTTTCCTTTAATTCATCACATGAAGGTGGTCATAAAGGCAGCTCTTTGAAATGAGCATCTCTGAAAGGCTCATAGACTGGTTTCATATATGGATGTGGATCAACCAGTGGCCATTTTTTATTTTTTATTTTTTTGTTAGCCGCTGCCTTGTATGGTTTCTGGAGCCCAAAGTAACCATATTTGGATAAGAGGGTGGTGTGCTAAGTTGGATGCTGTGTGACAAAACAAGCCTTATTATATGTCCGATAATTCCATTAAAAATGGCCCAAAAACCAAAACCAGGAATTTCTGTGATTTTAATTAGAGGAGGTGAGGCCTACAGCTCTCTGTGCCTCTACTCCTGTAAATCAAATCAACCCCCAAATTCTAAGCCTTTACAAAATCTAAGTAAGTGACCGATTATTTAGAAAATTCCCCTGAAAATTTTCTCTAAAGCAGGAAACTAATCATAGAGACCAACTTATTTTTCATAGCAGGTTTTAACCCTTTTTATTTCTAATGTAGAGTTGAACACTTTAGCATTGGAGTCTGTGAAGGCTGCCTCACTTTTTGAGCCAGCCTCAAGTGGCCATTAGAAGAACTGCAGTTCCGTATTGGCTTCCTTGTTCAGCTGCAGATGGATGAAACAAAAATTTTGTTTAACTTTAATTTTCTGTCTATGTTTTTCCTCAGGGAGCTTGATCCGGGATACATCGAAGAGTTTATGCCTTCAACGGTTTCTCTTTCTGCTCTTCCTGCTCCTCCTCCTCCTTCTTCCTTTCCATCGCCGCCACCACCACAAGAACAACAGGAACAAAAGACGCACCGGTCATTACGTCACAGCCCACCATGTTCAGCAGTCCAACTACGCATCAGAAACCGGTAGGAGGTGGCTGAAAGCCTGTATCACCTTCCAATCAGTTGTGCCCTCAAATAGCAGTTATCCAATCATTTCTTGCCACCTGTCTGTCTTTGGAGTTCTCCACATGCGGCTGTAGTATACAAGGGTTTTAGATCGTGGTTTCTTTTTTCTGCCTTTCTAGGCAAGAAATATAACCATGGAGAAGAGTTTGTGTTCATGTGGTTATGATATAATTGGCTAAAATTAGCGTGCCATCGATTACATTTTAGGATTTTTTGCTCAAGCTCTTAGGAGCAGGAGCTGTTTGAGAGACAAAAAAGGTACTTTAACACAAGCTCTCACTTTTTAAAATCAGTTGCATTAAAATTACTAAGAAACTTAATTTATAAGATATATTTAAAGGTACTTTTTGTAATTACCTACTGCAGGAAAAGATCAAATTTTCACCACTAGGGGCAACGTTTTACCACTGGGTGTGTTGTGTTGCCTTAGATATGTGCTGGTGTTTGTTTGTCATTAGGGGTCCAAATCCAGAGGCTGCATCTTCCTGAGGACCCAGCCTTCGTGGTCTACGTGGGCCGGGTCCTCCGAAGGCCGGGTAGGCCAGAAGTGAGGGGCTGTGAACCTTGACGGTCTAACCTTCAGTTTTGCGTCACCAGCTGTCTCGGTGGAGTTTAATAAACTAGGCCGCCTGCTCCTTGCTATCTAAAATATAACAGGACACTGGAGTAAATTCTCGATCATCTAACGCTTCTGTTTAATCGGTTTTTCAGTTGACGTTTATTCAGCTGTAATCTCAGCCAAACCGATTTACTCGGAACAAATAAAACACTAAAAAAAAAACAATAACATTTTTAAGTTATCTAAGTAACTTATATATCATGTTTAACCAGTAAAAGACCGGGGGGTTTGAAAACGCTGTGCCGGGAGTTCGCTGTTCTCGCCGGCTAGCTATTGAGCTGGTGGGTAACAGACGTCTCCGAAACACGTCAGCACTTTTGCAAATATGTGATGTCTTGATAAACCAAGCAGATATTTGAAGTTTACACAGCTACATTCTCGCCTGAAAATATGTTAAAAGTTTATTTTGTGACCCAGAGTAATAAGAGTATATTAAAACTAGTAGCGGCCGCCATTGTTGGAAACTGGAGTTTGGCTGGGCCGCGCTATGAATTCTGGGATATGGTGGGCCACGAAGGACACACCCGACCCATCCTTCAAATTCGGGGAAAAGGAGGACGCATTTGTCGGCTGCATTCGGAGGAGTCTACGAATTTGGACAGCCTTCGGCTCGCTGTGACGTAATCGGTCTACAAATGCGGCCTCAGGAGGATGCAGCCCATGAATTTGGACATCTCCATTGTAAGCAAGAATGTTTTCTTTTGCCTGGTTAAATAAAGGTTAACTTGACTCAGGCTGCATCTTGTGGCAAAATTGGTAGCTATATGTGAGTACAGCTCTGGACAGTTTGACTTCAGTGTTATATCTCTTCGATACAAAAACATATTGACATAGTTAGAGCTTTGATGCTTTGTGTTCAAGTTTTGAAACTATTTTTAAATGCAGAAATTTAGAATAAGAAGCTTTTTAATGTCAGTATGTAAATGACATCATACATATTTAAACAAAGAGGGCCATAAAAAGAGAGGATGACAGTGTGCATGTAATTACGGTTACAGCCGTTGTGTTGCTCACTGGGATTTCCTGCCAACTATTCATTAACAATTCCTTCCAGAGTCAATAATTCTCCCTTTATTTTCCTAAATGTCAGTTGGGTTTATGCCATGCAGGTTAAAACAGGAAGTGATGTTGGCGGTCAGCTGAGGATGTCTTCGGCACCGGTGTTAGGATGTCCTGCATGTGTTTCCTTTGGGTGTGATATTTATTGCGATGTCCTGTTGTGTGTTTGTGACCTTAAAATCAAGCTCAGCTCAACAGGAAATAAAACTGTGTTGTTATGGTAACCACCAACCAGTGACTTCATCAGCAGTAGCATCTTTATGGCTTCCTGTAATTTGCGTAAACTCTGTGATGTCATCAGCTTTGACCGTTTGTTTTTTTTTCACAAAATTCAGACAGTGTTGAAGAGCTCATTTACAATAAACACTTGAAACGATGTTCCTGATTCTTACAGGATTTTAATTTCTTTGGAACTTGAATTCAATCTGCAGGAACAACTTCTAAGATAAGCTGAACTTAATATCATCCATCTATTTACTTCCACGTATCCAATTCAGGATTGCGTGAAGCCTATCCCAGCTGTTATAGAGTAAAAGTCGGGGTAGACATTGGGCAGGATGCCAGTCTGTCACAGGGATAACACACACAGATATTCCAATATTCACACCTATATGGGCAATTTAGATTCCCTAACTACATGTGTTTGGACTGTTGGAGGAAGCGGAGTACCAGGAAAGAACACAAACACAGAGAGAACATGCAGAAAGTCCTTGTCTGAGTGTTGGATTCGAACCCATGACCATCTTGCTGTGAAGCAACAGTGCTAACCTCCTGCCCATTTATATATCACTTATGAATCAAATAATAATCATTTGGTTTATTTCTATATGATAAAAAAATAATTGGGGATTGATTTCACAATCCGATACAAAAATAGATTTATCTCTTAAATTTTTCATTTGCAGACCTCAAGGACCTTTGATGCTGAAACTGCCTCATTGTTTTAGTGTTATTTAGCTCTGCAGTCAAAGGTGTTTAGTTTAGTCTGAGGTAAACTAAAGAAATGATGAATTATCTGCGGTGTGGACATTCATCAGTCTCTCGCGACAAAGTCTATAAATGCTAACACCACTGCACCAGGGGTTCATCCTAATACGGAGCTCATGTTCTGGAAGGGTTTGTGTGTCTGTAATTAACATCACAGACTCAAGGGGGTGCTAGTGTGACTAAGCACGAGCCTGCGCACCAAACTGCTTTTTCCCTCTCTCTCTCTTTTTGCCTTGCAACGTGTGAAACTCATAACTTCACGACATATCCAAGACTTTCATTGGGAAAGGGTGGCTGGGGCTCCACAGCGAACTTCCTGCACATGCTTTTGAGCATGGTGCCTGCAACAACACGGTCATTAAAATGTACTCCAGCAGTAGTCTCAAGGAGCCAAATAAACAAGCAGAGTGACTCCATTCTTCCACAATTCCCTGGGCCCTGGGTGGTTATCAGATGCCACTGAGTGGTGCTCGTGTCTTATTGGTCATCCAGAAACAGGAAGTGGGCCATCAGAGTCCCATGAGGCTGGGTGTTAATCTGGAGAGGACAGACAGAATGATTTATAAACACACAGGCTCTTCTATGCCTTCTTCATCCCTCTTTCCCTCATCTCTCCTACAATCTTTCCCTTTCTCTTCACTCCTTTTTCCTCCTCAGAATGTTTCTTTAGTTGAATCACCACATTTTTCTGAAGCAACATCATCACATAGTTACTCACATACACTACTCTAACACAAACAACTCCCTCTCAGGCACAGCTCAAACACAAACAGAGCAGGCCAGTCAGTGCATGCGTTCACCTCGATCAATCGATTTGAGGATTAATCATACCTCCTAATCTCCATTTGGCTTCACTCTGGTTTACTTTACTTAGGTTAACTGCTGGGGATTACAATAAGGCATTATAAGGAAGAGACACAGCACTCAAAGCATCCTGAATAGAAATCTTTGGTTGGTCTACCATGATGTCATGCAGTCTTATTCTGAAGCCTCGTGATGAGTGTTTATGACGATTGGATGAACCAGGGGGCGATCTGACTGTGTAGTCTATCTTCCTTTCGATAAGCTCGATAAGCTAAAATTTACAAAATGGACTTCACATCTGACACAAAGATAGCGACTAAGCTCATTAATTCATCAGAGAGGTGTTTACTGAGGTCCCATAGAAGGTTTAAATGTGGGCTTCAGTCTTCAGGCCTGAGAACTACACCTGTCTTTGACTCTGTCTATTGCTGTGGTTGAATAAAAAAAATAAAAGAAAACCCTCATAACTTGTTTTCCTCATCACTTTACCTTAGCTTCAATGGAAAGCACCAAGGGAGTAAAGAAAAGGTGTGAAGAAGGTATAAGGCATCTTTGGGATACAGCAGAGTCGTGTAAATAGCATCCACCATCACATTATTAACCTGTGACGACTTATTGGTGAGACCGTATCCTCCTACTGTGCTTTTCAAATCAGAATCAGAATCAGAATACTTTATTGATCCCTGGGGGAAATTATTTTTTGTTACAGTGCTCCATTATAAACCAACATTAAGACAAGACAGACAATACACTAACTAAGAATAGTACAATATATACATATATATACATACATACATACATACATACATACATACATACATACATACATAAGTCACTCATAAATAAATAGCTGAAAAGAAACATGTGTATTAGGACTGGTATCATCACTGATTGATAATGACTTACACCTCAAGGGGTTAAACTGAAAATGCAACTTAAGCAAACTGAACTTTTTTTAAACCTAGGGCAGATTTTCCTTATCCATAACTTGAACTGGCATGGCGTTAATTCAGAGGCATCAAACCAATCTCTGAGTAGGTTTCAGGTGTTTTAATAGGCTCAAACGCACCTCAGCTGAGTGGAAACCCGTATTATTGTTTTTCTTGCATAGTGTGTTCAGTTATACAGTTTAAACAGACACTGGAATAGTTTTTAGGGACATACCCAAAACAATGGAAGGAGCTCCAGTGGTCCCTGAGTGAGCACATTAACTGGTGAGATATTGTGTACTGCTATTCTTATTTTGATTAAATAACAGTGATTAAATTGTTGCTTTTAAAGATGAATAAAGAAGATATATATTTAACACACACATATGTTTAACTACACTGGAATTTAGTTGTGTTGAGATTTTGTAGGCCATATGTGTCCTAAATACCACAACATACTTATATTTGGCCCATATAAGGCAAACACACTCACCCCGAGTCAGATGAACCTAAGAAAACTACAAAGGGTCCAGATTTAGGCCAAACATTCAGAACCATGCAAACATCATGAGCCATATGCCATTACTTTATATTTTGCTAGGAAATGGGAAAATAGGTACATAATTTTATTGAAACATATGCAAGCGTACATGGAAATACACTATATAAGGTAAAAAGCAGGTTTTTACAGTTCTAATGAGCTTGAAAATCAATATTTGGAACAGACCATGAGGCAGACCCAGGATACACAGCAGAGATTCTGATTCTATGCTGGGGAAAGAGTTGGATGGATGGATGGATAGATGAATGCGGCCTCATTTAAGCTAAACACTCATAGTTATTTTGGGTAAAATACAAAATAAACCCAGAGTTGAAAACGAAGTGGTTCCAAATTTTTAGTTTATCAGTCTAGTTATGTCTTTGGCTAAGAGGGAAGCTTGTCACAAAATCACAGTCTTATTTTTGCATTTTTATTTCTGCATCACACATCTACAGCAAACGTTAGAGAGGAAGAGAGGTCAGGTGAGTGATTTTCTCTTCTGATAAAGACTTTTATTCTTTGTTTTTGTCTCTTTATTGAACTCTTATTGAAATGATAGCAGACGTTAAATACTGGACTTTGTTTAAGTACAGATGTACAAATAAACAGTCGTGATGGTTCATCTGTGGCTCCCATTTGTGTGTCTGTGTGTGAGAGCAGATGGATGATTCACTGGCCCACAGAGTAAAAACAGAAACTCATTTTCTGTGTTCTCTTTGTTCAGATAACAAAAGGACTCACAGGAGTATTTCATCTTCCAAGATCATGTGACCTCCGACCTCCCCACTGTTGTTAAC